TACACGGGGGCAATGGGTGCATAATGTGAACTACAGCATGACCTGTGGTGTTTAGCCCATCGCTGAGCAAGGGAGGATTTTTAAACTTGCGTCTTCGTCTTTCTGGTGAGATGTTTAATTATATTTTTAAAAATCCTTCTCAGCCCGAGTTGGCTTTAGCAGGCAGGGTCGAAGCCCGCCCCCTAAATACCTAAATTGTGTCATTGAAGGTGTTTAAAAATAATTAATATCTACATATTTTAATCTCCGAGTAGGTGGGCACATGAGTTTTGTAAGCATATTGAGGCGTAGAGGGTTTCTGAGTTCACCTTTTGTACGAGCTATTAGAGTAAATCCAATATGAATTATTATGAACTAATAGTTTTTGTCGCAGGTTGGAGGAGGGGGGGGTGATTGTGTTCACCACATGCAAAGTTTTCAAGAGGTGCAACCTGCTATTTCTATAGATACTGAGTGTTTAAGGAATGTTCTTAGTCACCCAGCCATGGGGTGACAAAGACCACCATATTAGATCCCTCTTATTTAACACCACGGTTATAGTTATAGTATTAGTAATACCCTCCCTTGGGTGACTAATGTCTCTGGAAATAGAATCTTATGCTCGTTCTGACTAATTTTGAGGGCGTCAAACTATTAGTACGGTGCCCCCAAATAGGCTCAGAAGACAATGTAGCATCAGAAAGTTTCTGGTGCAAATTTTAAAGATAGCAACTGATCATCTTGTTTGGTGTCATTTTAAAATTCTCAAACTTACACTGTACTTAGACAAAATAAAGCTAACATAGATCAGAAACACAGTGTTAAAATAAAACAAAACAGTTGTTGTTTTTAAAAATTATGGATACAGTACAGGTAACAAAGCAAAGTGAAACACAACTTATTATAGCCTCATAAAAGGCAACATGTTAAAAAATTAAATGTCTGGAAAATATTGCAATCCTCCGCCCCAGTCTCAGACTGAGAATCCCCCCCCCCCCCCTCCCCTCCGAAGACACTTACGTGGGCCTCATGGATTGTTACTCTTGATTCTTCTGGTTCCCTAGCGTCTCTTGTTAAATAAAAACTATTAGAAATAACTAAAAGACAGGCAAATTGGGTTGAAAATGCACATTTTCAGATTGTGGTCTTAATCACCCTGGATCAGCCATTCCAGAGTAGGGTGACAAAGACCACCTAACCACATAAAATGTATTTATAAAACTAAAGGTAGGAGATTACAATCAGAAATTTCAACCAATTTTAAATTATATTAAAATATAATTGAAGTAAGGGTACATTTGTGAAAACTATCTACAAAGTTTTACAGGACCACACAGATCCAATTTTTAGCAACAAGGGGCAAATATCTTGGATTCAAGTGTAACTCTATTCAAAATGGTGCTTTCAGAGCTATTGTTATACTTTTTTAGATATAAAAAATATACATATTGATGATTAAATCAAACAGAAATTGCATTTTACATGGAAACAAACAGTAAATCCACTTGAAAAATCGGAAAAAACATTTTACTGGCTACAGGTCTTTATCAATTTCAGTGGCTTTAGTGACCACAGTCCACCAGTACCATACTTACTGTGTTAGTTTATATATA